GAGAAGAGAGTGATATTCTATCTGCTCATTTATTTGCCAAAGTATGCTAGGGCTTGGCCAGGCTGAAGCCCGGAGCCTAGAACTCTATCTGGGTCTCCCACGTGAGTGGCAGGGGTCGAAGTCTTGGGCCATCTTCCATTGTTTTTACAGATGTATTGTCAGGGAGCTGGAATCAGAAGTGGAATAGCCAAAATGTGAACTAGCACTCTGATATGTGATGGTAGTGCTGCAGGTAGCAGTTTAACCTACTGTGCCACAGTGCTGGTCCCTGTGTTTGACTTATTCCATTTAATAAAATGACCTCCAGTTCTATCTGTGTTGTTGGAAATGATAAAATTTCATCCTTTTAGTGGCTGAATAGTATTCCTTTGTGAACATTTTCTTTATCCACTCATTAATGGGCAGACATTTGGGATGTTTCCATTCCTGGCTATTCTGAATATTGCTGCAATAAACATGGCAGTGCAGATGTGTTTCTGAGAGATTTCATTTCTCTTGGATATATACTCAATAGTGAGATTTTTGGATCATATGGTGGTTCTGTTTTTAGGTTTTTGAGGCACCTCCATACTATTTTCCGCAATGGCTACACTAATTTGCATTTCCACCAGCAGCGTGGAAGTGTTCACTTTTGTCCACATTCTCTCCTGAACTTGATATCTTTTTTTTTTTTTTTTTAAAGCATAAGTTCTCTTCTTAAAATTTGTTGGGGAAGGGAAGGCAAGGAGAGAGGAAGAGAGAGAAAGTGAGCGCCCATCTGCTGGTTCACTCCTGAAATGCCCACAACTGCCAGGGCTGGAGCCAGGAGGTGGGAATGCGGTCTAGGTCTTCCATGAGATGTCAGAAACCCAGTAACTTGAGTCTTTGCATGCTGCCTTCCAGGATGTGCGTTGATGGGAATCAGAGTCAGAATTGAACCAGGGCTCTCCTATGTGGGATGTGGGTGTCTTACCTGCTAGGGTAAATGGCTGCTCCACATCTTTTGTATAATTGATAAGTGGTAATATCTCATTGTTTTGATTTACATTTTTCTGATGATTAATGATGAAGACTTTTTCATGTACATTTTGTCTATTTGTATGCCTTTTTTTGAGAAATACCTGCTTAGATCTATTACCCATTTTTATTTTTTAAAAATTTTAAAGATTTATTTATTTATTTGAAAGTCAGAGTTACAAAGAGAAGGAGAGGCAGAGAGAGAAGAGAGATTGACTTACTCCCCAATGGCTGGAGCTGCGCAGATTCGAAGCTCCTGGCTCCTGACTACTTCTGGGTCTCCCATGCAGGTTCAGGGGTCCAAGGACTTGGGCCATCTTCTAGTGCTTTCCCAGGCCATAGCAGAGAGCTACATCTGAAATGGAGCATCTGGGACTTGAACCCATGCCCTCATGAGATGCCAGCACTACAGGCAGTGGCTTTACCTCCTTGCCGCGCCATCTTGTAAATCTCAAAGAGCGATGAGATCTTTCGGAATGAATTAGAAAAGAGTATTTGAAATATAGTGATGATTCTCACGGCATTGTTGAAATGCCCATTCCTTTTGAGAAACACTGAGCTTCTTGTACAAAACACCCTTTTTCCTTTTATGATATGTTGAAATATTTTTAAATACTATTATTTTACAAAATGACGTAATGAATCTACCCTTCTAATTTAATTCAATCTAATAAAGTTGTTAGTTTAAATTTAATAATGTGAAGCCTTGGTAAGGCCCACTGTCAGTTTAGGTTTCTGAAACTGTAGAAGGTAAAAGTTACAGGATTTGTAGATTTTTAGAGGGATACCTTAGGTGTCGTTCCATAGAACAGAGGTGACCAACTCCATAATGATGACTTTAAGGTTGTCAAATAAAAGTCCCTAGTGCTAAATTGGCAGTTTCCAATTTAGGAACGTGTTGTTATATCACAGAATGCATTGCCCCAGAAATGATACAACTAGGGGCAGCTCCCCTGCGTTTCCCTCCCCTGACCCTCTGCCTGGAAGAGAGAACGGAGGAGTCATCTAAGGAAGGCACACCAGCATGCATGGCAAGAAACCAGGACTCTGCTATCATGTGCGAGTCATTTGACTCCCAGGCTCTTGGATTACTCATCTCTAAAATGAATGAATTGGGCAAGATCATTTCTGAGGTTCCTTCAAGCTCTGATGTCATGTGATGGGGATTTTCTGATTCCTGGGTTGGCATCCACGCAAGGATTTGGATGGTGAAGTGTATAGGTTTTCAGGTTTGTTGTACCCGTGACCTTTGCATATTTTTGTTATTCACCAGTTGAAATTAGATAACAAAGATCAGTTGTACACTCTGACAGGCAGACCTATTTTTTTCTTTTTAAATTTAAAAAATGGAAAGAGGGAGACAGGGAAGAAGGGAGAGAGACACTGAACTCGCTTCTGCTGGTTCACTCTTCAAATGCCCACAGTAGTTGAGGCTGGGTTGAACTGAAGCCAGGAGGTGGGAACTTAATTCAAGTTTTTCATACGAGTATTAAGTGATGGTTACCTGAACCATCACTGCTGTCTCAGTGGCTAGAGTTAGGAGCCAGTTAGGAGTCAGTTGGCAGGTGGGTAGAGTTAGGAGCTGGAGCTGGGAATTGAACCCAGGTACTTCAACGTGGGATGTGGAATTTCAACCAGGCCAAACACCCCACCCCACCCCACATTTTTATGTTCTTATAGAAAAGCATTTTCAAGTTTATAAGAGATCACTCTTGTGCCCTTTTGATAAATCACTCTATCATTCTTTAAATACTTCATTATTTTCTGGTATAAAAGGATATTTAAGGTTTATAATTCCCCTGTCCCAGTCCTGAAGCCAGCCTGTTTCCTAAGGTGTCCTGATGCCACTGAAGGAGAATAGACTTAGGTATGCCTTTACAACTTGGGGTCTCCTGCTCTTGGTGGGCAGAACAAGAAAATGTATGATTTCTTGTAGTTGTGTAATAAATTCCAGTTCACCAGCACAGGGCTCTTCCTCTCCTTCCCACATGTTAGGTTTGTGTATTCCTTCTCTCATGGTGTAAATCATGATTCCGAGTGGCAGGTGTGCCTCACCAGCACTACTACCAACAATAATCCTATGTAAAATTGTAAATTTTTTCTTTCAGTTCTCTTTACCTTAAGCAGATTGAAGACACAATACATGTACTCCTAAGGAGTTGCTCTCTGTTGTAGTTTGTCTTAGTAACTTTCCATCATCCCTCCCTCCATCTCTTCCATATGGAGTAGAAAGAGATGCTCATTCAGGAAATGTTTGCAGAGAGGCAGGTTGGGACCTTCTTTGAATGGTGCCTGTCTAACAGTGTTTTCCCAAGTTAAATGAATTAACATTTCTATAATTAAGTATAATTAATTTACCAAAAGCATTAATAACTTGAATCTTTATATTAAAATGAAATAAATTTATCACCACATAATACATATTTTATATAACTATATTTAAGTAATATTTATATACAAATATTAACTTCTATGTATCTGTATGGTCTTTATTGCTTATATATCTTTTAATTCACAGAAATCAAAATTTCTTCTATTTTAAATGTTTATTTTATTTATTTGAAAGGCAGAGTTAGAGAGGTAGACAGAGAGGTCTTCCATCTGCTGGTTCACTCCCCAGATGGCCACAATGCCCGGGACTGGGCCAGCTGAAGCCAGGAGCCAGGAGCTTCTTCCATATCTCCCATGTGGGTGCAGGGGCCAAGTACTTGGGCCATCCTCCGCTGCTTTCCCAAGCACATTAGCAGGGAGCTGGATCAGAAGTGGAGCAGTTGGGACTCAAACTGGTCCCCATATGGGATGCTGGCATTGCAGGCTGGGGCTTTAACACACTGCGCCACAGTGTGTTAAATTTCTTACTTTTTTAATCTCAATTTTAGTTGATGTTTCACATTAGGTGATGAGAAATTGGGTTTCAAGTTTGTTTTCATTTTAAGAATTGGGAGGCCTACAGAAGCCATTATTTTATCATATTTTGGTGGTGACATTATAGATATGTGTATAAATTCTAGTTAAGCATTAAAAAAAAATCACAAGGAGGGAACTGTGGTGCAGTGGGTTAAAGCCCTGGCTTGCAGCACTGGCATCCCATATGGGTACTGGTTCGAGTCCTGGCTTCCACTTCCAATCCAGCTCTTTGCTAATGTGCCTGGAAAAGCAGCAGAGGATGGCCCAAGGCCTTGGGCCCAAGCACCCATGTGGGAGACTCAGAACAAGCTCCTTGCTCCTGGTTCCGGATCAGCTCAGCTGCGGCCATCTGGGGAGTGAACCAGCGGATGGAAGACTTCTGACTGTTTCTACCTCTCTCTCTAACTCTGTCTTTCAAATAAATAAAGTAAAGCTTTAAACAAAAATCATAAGGAGTGGCATTTAACCTAGTGGTTAAGGTACACCAGCTAAAACACCCTTGCCCTATGTTGGAATACCTGGGTTTGATAACCCTTCTCCATCTCGTGACTCCAGCTTCCTGCTAATGTAGACCTGAGAGGCAGCAGTGATGGCTCAAGTAATTAGGTTCCTACCATTCATATAGAGACCTTGGTTGAGTTTCTGGCTCCAGGCTTCACCTTACTGCAGGCATTTGGGGAGTGAACCAGCAGATGGGATATTCCTGACTGGCCCCTACCCTTGCACAACCTCTCTTATTCTCAGATAAATAACGAAATTAGTTTTAAATCACAAGACTGAGAGCAACCATTTTGGGCTAAGCGTGGGAGTATTAGGGTGGGGAGAGGCTAGTGTTTGGAGGAGGGAAAGGTATAGAGTTAAATGTACATTTGAATGTAGGACAATGAAGTTTTAGAATTGTCGCCTGGGGAAATTAAATTTTCTAGTATACAATATAAATATGTTATCTATTCTTTTTGAATAAATATCATTCTCTTATTTTTCAAATCTATTATTTGAAAGTCAGAGAGATCTTCCATCTGGTGGTTCAAATATTTTTATCAGTGATAAAAAAACCTAAAATCCTTTGAAAGTAACTTTTTCTATTTTTATTACAGGTAAATTGGGATATTCACAATGTACAGAAACAGAGGTAAGAGAAATGCTTGGATATTTATTAGAAAAGCAGCTTTGTAATCCTGTTTAGGCCTATTTACTCCTGTTGGGAATTGAATTATGTCCCTGTAGGTTCTTGGTCTTCTGATAAGCATGTATTGAAAATAGCTATATGTCATCCTTATTTAGGAAAAATAAAATGTGAAGTAAAGTCAGTTATCTTGTTTGTGTTTGTATGTCAAGATGTGTTACAAAGAATAGCTTAATTATAGTTCTAACATTTTTCTTGTGTTATTTGTGGAATTAAGTTAGCTTAGACCCAGGGCCCTAAATAAGAACTTAGGTTTGTTTTTCCTGTAATCCAATCTTGTGTGTCCTGATGCAAACATCACTTAAATAGGCTGGACTCTTATGGAGACAGATACCTTAGTGCAGGAAAAAACAGACTTAGAAACAGGGTTACAGTAGAATGAAGGAGGGAATTTTTGCCTTTTACCTGTTAAACTTCTTAATCAGTGAAGTATTAAGCCTTTTAACATAAAGTAAATTTAAAATGTTATCTTAAAAATTAAAAGAGGAAGGAGGGAGTGAAGAAGGGAATATCATTATGTTCTTAGCATTGTATCTGCAAATCCCACTGTATCTGTTAAAAACTAAAATGCAAAAAAAAAAGAATGAATTTAATGCTTTGTTCTTTTCATAGCCAGGCTTATTTTTTTAATAATTTAAATGACTTCATTCAAAATTCTGATTGTGAAATTTAAGAATTTTTCATGTGACTCCATGTGTTCTAGCAGGCATTTCAAGGATCACATTAAAATACCAGGGCAACATATGTGTGTGGTCTTCTCTTAAGTAGCAGTTACTTCATCCTTTTTTTTTTTTTTTTAAGATTTATTTATTTATTTGAAGGCGTTACACAGAGAGAAATAGAGGCAGAGAGAGAGAGAGAGAGAGGTCTTGCATCTACTGGTTCACTTCCGAATTGGCTGCAACGACCACAGCTGCGCCGATCCAAAGCCAGGAGCCAGGAGCTTCTTCTGGCTCTCCTACACGGGTGCAGGGGCCCAAGCACTTGAGCCATTTTGTACTGATTTCCCAGGTCATAGCAGAGAGCTGGATGGGAAGTGGAGCAGCTGGGACTCGAACTGATGCCCATATGGGATGCTGGCACTGCAGGCAGCGGCTTTACCCACTACACCACAGCATCGGCCCCTACTTCATCCTGGTATTAGTGGTGTTAGTGGTAATACCTAACTAAAGGCTATAATAAATTATATTTCTAATTTTTAAAAAAGATTTATTTATTTATAAGTCAAAATTAGAGATCAATCTTCTATCTCCTGGTTCACTCCTAAATGGCCACAGCAGCTGGAGCTGGGCCACGATGAATCCAGGAACCAAGAGTTGTTTCTAGGTCTCCCATATGGGTACAGGGGCCCAAAAATTTGGGCCATCCTCCGCTGCTTTCCTATGTGTATTAGCAGGGGGCTGGATCTGAAGTAAAGTAGCCAGAACTCAAACTGGCACCCATATGGGATGCTGGCGCTGCTGATGGCGGCTTAACCTACTGCGCCACAGCACTGGCCCCATATGTTTAATTTTAATAGTGCATCTACATATTGTTATAGGTTTTAGTAACCTTCAGCTGTTTGTTTGTTTGTTTTTTTAAGTAGGATGCAGACCTCCTTGAGTGCTTGTTTGGAGGTTCTAGCATGGGAGTACAGCTACCGGTCTTCCTCCTCTAATGGGGAAGGGCATCCTCTTCTACCAAGCGTGCAGCTTCTGGGGTGACGCACATGGAGCATTGAGCAGGGAAGGGGACATCTGTCTAGCCAGCCAGATCAATCTAATCAATCCTGGCCGTCAGTGGGGTTGGTGTCACAGCCAGATTACCTTCACAGGCTTCCTGAGGCATTATCTTGTATAACAAATAAGCAAAAATAATTTATCTCTCTTTACATTCAATTTGAATTATGTATATACCTACTGTTCAACATATAAGAGTGGGATTTGATTTGAATTAAAATATATAAATTTTACCTTATGGTTTTTGGGTGTATGTTTTCTATCTGTTCAATTTTTGAGCAAGTAATTTTTTTTCTCTTAGGACACCTGTTTTTGTTGTTGTTGTTGTTGTTGTTTTTAAGGATTTATTTATGTGAAAGAGAGAGAAAGTGAGACACAGAGAGACACACACACAGAGCTCTTCCATCCATTGATTTATCCCAGATGATTGCAGTGGCCAGGGCTGGGCTAGGTTGAAGCTGTGGGTGGCAAGAGCCCAAATATTTGGGCCATTTTCTGCTTTTCCCAGGCCATTAGCAGGGAGTTGGATCAGAAGTGGAGTGGCCGGTTATGAACTGGCACCCAAATAGGATGCCAGCATCACAGATGGCAACTTTACCCGCTACAACACAATGCTGGCCGCTAGAAAATTTTCTTATATAAAAGAAAGTTGATGATAGTCTCATTAACCTCATATGGTTATGAAATATTAGATAAATAATATATGTGAAAATGTTTCGTAAACCCTAACCACACTATTGTAAGCCATGATGATGTAAATATAACCAGCATTCATCTACAATTTAGGTAATGAAATGCAGGGATTTATAAACAAGGCATCATCATAAATCTCATTATTATGTCTTATTTATATTGTATTGCCATGAAATCAATATATTTTTTAAAGATATATGTATGTATTTGAAAGGCGGAGTTACAAAGAGGTAGGGGCAGGGGCAGGGGCAGGGGTCTTCCATCTTCTGGTTTACTCTCCAAATGGCAGCAACAGCCAGGCTGAGCCAGACTGAAACCAGGAGCTTCTTCTGGGTCTCCCACATGGGTGCAGGGGCCCAAGCACTTGGGCCATCTTCTGCTTTCCCAGACACATCCAACAGGGAGCTGGATCGGAAATGGAGCAGCTGGGACTTGAACAGGAGCCCATATGGGATACTGGTACTGGCTCAAAACGTGGTTTGAATATTAGTTTAGTAATCACTTTGTAGAATACCATTGATTCATTTTATTTCATAATTGGCAGCATTTATCTTTTGATCTATAATTTAGGTCACCAAAAGAATGTGAGCCCCTTTGTCTGAATTTTTCTTTTAAAGATTTTATTTTATTTATTTGAAAGACAAAGTGACAGAGAGAGGTAGAGACACAGAGAGAGAAAGAAGTCTTAAATCCACTGGTTCACTCCCCAAATGGCTACAACAGCCAGAGCTGAGCCAATTTGAAGCCAGGAACCAGGAGCTTCCTCTGGTTCTCCCACGTGGGTGCAGGGCCCAAGCACTTGGGCCATCCTCTGCTGCTTTCCCAGGCACATCAGCAGAGGACTGAATTGGAAGTGGAGCAGCCAGTACTCGAACCAGCGCCCATTATGGGATGCTGGCACCGCAGGCTGGGGCTTTAACCTGCTGCACCACAGTGTTGACCCCTGTCAGAATTTTTAAATAACAAATTACAAGAAACTTAAAAGTTCAGTCTGATTATATTTAGCCTAAAAACTAACTTCAAAGTTTTTCTCGGAGTAATAGTAATTATCTTTAGGGAGGAGAGTGAGATTGCAGATAGTCATTTATCTATATTGTTTGAATTTTTGAAAGAAAAATAAGAATATATCTGTGTATTACCTTGGTAAATACAAAAGAGGGCTGGTAGGGCTGTAGAGGCAGTTAGAACTAATTTTTCATGGAGTGACAGGAAAGGAGGAGGAGACGGTAGTGTAAGTAGGAAAGATTTTGCTTTGTTGTTTAGGTTAGGGAAGATGATACATTTGGTGGTAGTGGTGAGGAGCCAAGAGAGAAAGAGGCTGAAATTCAGGTTATAGCATGGATTGATCCAGCAGACAGAGGAACAGGTGTAAGAGAGTTGCTAGAACAGTACATTTCAGAACCAAAAGTGGCCCAGGGCTCCGGGATCCTCCAGGCCTTTGGAATCTACAAAGTCAAAGTCATTTGCAGCGTATTCATTAAAAATTATTCACCTCTTTTTATCTTCTCAAGAGTGTGCTGTGGGGATCCCCAGGCTGCACACTCTGGCTACAGTGGGTGCCAGACTGTCACTGAGCCTGACCTGAAAGGGTTCTGCAAAAATGTAAAGCAGTACTACCCTTGGCACTGTTTTGTTTTGTTTTTTTTTTTTGTAAGGGTGAAAAATAGTTTTTTCTCCCTCTATAAAAGTAAGTTAATTTCTGGTGCAGTGCATGTTGATGGATTGTAGCTAACGTGAATAAAAGGTCATTGGATTCCTTAGGAATATTTAAAAAGTGTAAAAGTGTTCTATAGCCAAAAGGTTTAAGAGTGGTTGGGTTTGAGCATGAATGACAGAGGACCTTCTTCCTGAGATTAGAGTTGTAGACCAAGAGAAGAAACTGCAGCCCTGAAGTCCACAGGAATCCTGCCCTGGTGGGCTGGACTATTCAAGCCAGGCTGTGCATTAGTAGGAAGCTAGAATTGGGAGCTGAGCTGAAACTTAAACCAGGCACTCTGATATGTGACATAACTTAACCATTTGGCTGTGCCAGACACTGACTTTCTGACACTCCAATCCTGACTTTCTTAGTCAGGGGTGGCTGAATGGGTTGTGCTGCTGCCTGCTTGGAGCCTCCTTTCCTTCTCACTTCTCTGCTTCAGATTCCTCATCAGGGCTGACTTGCTCTGACTTGTGAAGGGAGAGCACTTAGCATCAAGTCTGGCTTAATGAATGCAGCATGTTATTTCAGAGTTGGAAGGGTAAGGTTTCCTGGGAGGGAGAAAGAAGATCCTACTTCGCAAGCAAGACTCATAGGTCTGTTGGGGAAAATAAAAACCCCTCATCTTTTTGGAACTTTAGGATTCTCATCAAAGCATATAGTTTAAGTAGTTTTTGTAGTGCTTAAGTATCATGTTATGATTTATTTCCTAGTTTTAGTTATAGCTGTCTTTTTAACAGTTTTTAAAAACTAAAATTATGAATTTAGAGAAAGTGAGGAGAATGTGCGTAGGCATTTGATTGTTAGTGATCTTTTATCTCAGGATTAGCTAATCT